ATGCCTGCTTTTCTAATTATACAGAAATCTCATATTCGTTCTTTGGTACTTCATTCTTCTATGGAGAATATATGCTGAAGGCAACGACTTTGTCGAAGAAAGGGAACATCATGTGCCTCGTTTTTAAATTAAATTTTACAAAGAAAAAAAATCCATAATAATTAGATATCTCAAATATTGTTTTGTTTTATTATTCAGTAGTCATCAATGCTCCCCTAAAATGATTAGGCCAGTTGTGGTTGGCGAGTTCTTCACTTTACACCCAAGCTTGGAATCAATTTATGACTCCGTGGCGCAGTTGCCAAGGTATTGGCGTTTTCTTGTTGTGCGATTAAAGAAAAGTCTTCTTGATTGATTAACCAGTCTAGAAGACTTTTTATACCACATTTTCCCTATTTACATTTATTTGTACTAAGATTTACTTAAGTACCGCTTTTGGCCGAAAATAGAAGTCCATTCAAAGATGCAGTTTCGGCTTATATTGATCGTAGTTCTTAACTCGGTAGAAATGATTATCTTGTTTGAATTAACTCTCAGGTATTTTAGAATGTCACTGTATTCCAAACTGACCGCAGCAATATAATAATCTTGATTTTTAATCTCTACCAATCACATCGGTAACTAGCATTGAATCGTTGTTGCTCAATTTGTATCTCATTATATAGCGATTTAAATTTTTTTGATGAACTCATTGTGATAATCTATTAAACTTAGTTTGTAATAACCCTGTCCGCTTTATAGTTAATGGTGGCTGCGGTGACATTTTTTATTAATACTTAATAATAATTTATAATTATAAATAATATATTAGTACATGAAGGAGCAAGTAAGCTGATGGTGATTCACCTTGATGTAAGTGATAACCGCTGACTGTAGACATCTGTGAGACCCATGATAATGCAGATGCGATACTACCATTTATAAAAGTGGGCTTTTTTTGTTAACGTTGGGGAAATGCCCACGCAAACTTGCCCTCGTGGGGGCAAGAGCGGGTTATGTCGAACTCGAATCGACTAAATTCTCTCGATGTTCCACCTAGGCGCATATAGGCAGGGAAAGCTTTCGCACACTTCCGTGATCTTGCCAGCTATGGCCGCCTCAGCAACCCCCTCCCGGTGAGCAACTCGCCTTTCCTCCAGGTAAAGCGTGCTGGAACGCTTCCCTACTTGGTTCAGTGCGGTTTCCTACTCGGCCCTTTTTCACGGCTAACGAAATCCGCCAAGTTCGCTGAGAAGCCAAGAGAGCCAGTGCAAATAAGCAGCCGCTCATCAAATTTCGGCCGCGGAGGGTAGGGAGAAGGGCTAAACACAATACCGACACAACTCCCCCTCGTTAACAGATGACAGGGAGAGTGTTCCTTCCTCTACCACCCTCGACCCTGCACCCTCCAGGCACGCGTCCAGAATGGGCTCATTGAGCACTGTGAGCGACCCTCTCGGCCTTACACCACAGGCTGGCTCAGCGTGGGTTCCTCTTGGTTTCACCGTGGGTGACCAAGCCACGGCTATTAAGCCCCTCCGCCACGACAAGGCTGGGTTCACGGTCAGAGGGGTGATATGCAAGGAGCCTAAAGCAACCAATGCGCAATTTAAAGACTTTTGTTGCAAGTCACAACAAAACTGTACACATTTATTATGTCGTCATAAAAACATTTCTAATGTAACAGCTTAAGTAGACATTTATGACAGCAGTATAACAGTGGGTACCCACCCTCATGAAAGTTACAATGGGTTGTGACGGACTAGCATTGTCTAAAATTCGTAGGATACTTTATTAAGAGATTTTTTTGTGTTGGTGGTTGATGTTTGCGAGGCTGGTTCAAAAGCTAGTTTTCCACGGCATCCAGCTTAGTTTGGCTCAAGCTGAGCCTAACTAACCTAAATCACACATTTAGACTAGCCGGCATTAAAAAACGATGGGATAGTCGGTTGGTTTGTTATTCGTGGTTAGAAGCGATGAGAATCGTCCTGACACGCATTTGTAACTTGGGTACGTGGTGAGTTGGTTTCGCCTTTGTTTGTGCTATGAGAAACTATAGTATTTTGTAAGTTAACGCTACTTGTGTGTTAAACAGTACTGTTGGGCGGGATAACCGGTGATGCCGTAATAGTCCCCTTCCTCATTAATCTCGATGAGGACGTTACGTGGACAACGTTTTCGAACGATGTGATTTTAGGATATATCGTAGATCCATTTTATTATATCTCTGAAGTGATCGCGTAACGTCGATAGTCATCCATAGCTGTCCAAACCTTGCAGCGCTTGCTATGGGGATATGTTGTGTTGCCTTAAGTTTATTCAGATGCTTTTAGGGAACATGCGCGAAAGACATGCAAGAGTGCAGTAAATTTTGTTTGAAGACTTAAAGCGTAGTTTTAAGACGTAAAGTCGGCCTGGTAGTAACGCGCCTTTCTTTTTGTTTAAATGAGTACTCACATATTTGACCTTCTTCTTCAGCATCGTATCATCGAAAAGAGTTATTTTTCCAATCTTACTGTTCTAACTGCTGTATGTCAGTGGTTGGGTGTTGTAGACACTTATTTCAGGGTATAGTCAATTTTCCATTGAAGTGAAAATAATCATTGAGGCTATCAACGGAGCTCTGAAGTCGGATGATCATAAGTCATGGAAGTTTTTTCGTACAGAAGTGTGCAGTGTCATCCGCGAAAAGCAGGATGATTATAATAATCGTATTTACCTGCTTGATAAAGAAATTCACTATTTCATCCTTATCTACTGTGTGTGTTAGCTATTGTTGGTTGCACTCTCAATTATCAAGCGGAGTATAAGGTGTTATTATCACCAACTACTACATTAAATACCAAATGCAGTCAATTAAGGCAATGTGCTCGATAATAGCACTAAGCCTTTCGGAAGGATTTATGGCCACCCGAACTTTATTTGCTAAGGCTAACTTCGCTGTTGTTTATTGTATTTAATGAGCCGGAAACTAATGAGAAATGTGCAATCAAGTTTGGTAAGTAATCGAAATTTCGACTTTGCATTTGCAGACTTTTTTTTTGTTTGTTTGAGTGTTTTTTATTGTTTTGGTGGGAGAAAAAAGAAAAAGAAAAGCCAAACAAGTCAGCCCTCGCGATGGCAAAGGCGGGCTATGATGATGTTTCACCTAGCAGCGTATCAGCAGGGTGGCTCCACGACTAAACAAGTATTGGCCGTAGAGGGTCGGTGATAATCTTTATAAAGCCATGGGAATAGGGTACATTATGTTTTTCAGCGCCGGCTACACTGCAGCAGCTAGTTCTCATGATATTCATATAATAGCAACAATCTACTTCTTTATGTAAAATATATTGAACCATAGGGGCCTCTTCATTAGCAAAAAGCTCCTTCAGTTAGTAATTCGAGGACCGTGGGCACAAAGATAGGAAAGGCTAAGGTTCAGAAGCAGCAGCCGCTTTGTCTTCGAGAGAACAACTTTTACTTGCAGGTTTACCCGTGGAGGGATTACCCCCCATCTTTTGCGCTTTAATGACGCAATTGTATCGGGTTGCAGAGAATAGGGCAAGTGGACACCTCATTCGCAGAGGAATCAGACGAATTTTCTACCCTCACACTCCATTATTCAAAGACAAAAATCAAGCAAGAATCCTTAAGAATTTAAAAGGGAATCAGTGAAACGGCAGAGTTCGATTTTAATAGTATTCAGTATTCTTTGTTAATTTATAATTTTCAATTATACAAAAAATCTGAAAAGTAATTTTACTGTCTTTGCAAAACTGTGCAATTGCAAAAAATACCAATAGAAATTTGACTGAGATTTGACTGAGAACATTACGTTTTCCTTTACTTCTTGGTCATTTTGTCAGTATCATTTAAGGTTAAACAGCACACATACAAATTCTAACAGTTTTATTTGTTATTTTTCTGATTGATTTTATATCTCTTTATTCTTGCCCTACAAACTTTACAGACATTGCACACCTCTGAATATTATGACTGAATTTTTAATTTATATTTGAGACAATTTTTTGTAAATGTGAAACAATAAAAGAATTTTGTTCGTATTGAGGTAAATAAAAATTTTATTGTGACAGTAGACAGAAGTCAATTGGGATTCTTAAAAAAATTTGTACTTTTCTATCTTAAATTAAGAAATACTATGCTTATTTTAATTACAAACTAACGGTGGATGTTTAGTAATAGCGATGTAAAGGTCCGCTAACCGTGTAAAATTCGATTCTATAACTACTCAGCACAAATTAACTAAGAGAAAGAATAATAATTTAGGATATTAATAAATAAACCTGATTTATAAAGTTCTTCGAAAATAAATACCTATAAGTAAGGAATTAAACTACTGGTCATTTCACGTGGAACGGATAATATAAGAGATGTGTGATTCTGAAATTCATTCATATTAAGATGAAATTTTCTTCTTTAATGTACGCCATTTTCTCTACGAATACCAATTACCAATAAATAGAATTGAAGAAACTGATTTATATTTGGTTGCTCCTGTTAATTAACTGGACGTGAAAAGGTTATTACGGTTTTTATGTTGTGATTTAAATTTAAAATTGGAATCATTTTTCTTATAGGAAGCCGAAAGCAAATGTTGCAAATAAGATTTTATTTACTGTCGGGTTTTTTTTTCATTCTGAACCCAAACATATATCGTATGAAAATAATTGTTTGTGTTATACTGGCAACTGCATTCGTTTCGGAGACATATTTTCGACGTCTTTAAAAAGAGGTGAGGTTCTCAATTCGGTTGTATGTTTTTTTTCATTACCTTTACTGTTTATCACGTTACTGTATTGGGTTCGGTTTATGACCCCATATTAATTTCATTTGTATTGAACCTTTGACCCTGGTAATTAATCAGGGAATTCCTCACAATAAAAGAGAAGATGTAGTAGTAGTGAGTGAGATGTTTGAAGTCGGTATTGTATTTTGTTACTATAAATGTTTTACTTGTATTCGCTTCACGCAAAATGCCCCGTACGCTAGTGTGTGTTAATTTTTAATGATGCTTCCTACTTTCTCCCGTATGCTATGAGCAGGCTGTAGTTGGCCCTTACGCTGATCAAGCCGTCTATGTTGTTGTTAACTTGGTCTATGAGCCTCATGTCTCTGACTACACTCACGTAGTCCTCCATAAAGTCTTCGTGCATGTCGCTCGGTATCTTGAATGGGTTCACTGCTGTTACCGCTTCTGTAACGTGCGAATGGCAGGTTATAAAAATGTTGCCGTTTATCGAAACGTTGACAGCTCCGATTTAATTTATTTTTTGCATAGATCTACAACAACTGACTGGTTGTGGAGGATTGCCAACTATTAAAAAAGTGGGCCCCAGTTACTTCACCCACCAGAATTGACGGAAACGTATACACTTCCAATTCACGCCGGTCTTCTATGAGCCCATGGTACTTTTTTGGACGAACCTGCCTATTGTATTTACAGAGGAATCTGCTGCGTGGCACTATCGCATTTAGATTGTTTGAGCACGTGTCAACAGGAAATTATTTGAATTAAGTTCTGTGCGCAGATTTAATTACTGACTTTTAATAAAAAATAATATGATATTACGTTTTTTTTATTTAATAAAAGCCTAATTAGTTGAAATTTTGAACTATTTTCTTCACTGTGTTCTGTAACTATTTGTTGAGGCTGAAATTTTTTTTGAAGAGCCATCATGATTAGACAATGAAATATGTTTTCGTTTTTAATTAAAAATAGCAAAATTTCTTACTTTTTACAGCCTCTACGCTGTCATATGTAAAGGATCTCTCTTTCCGTTTAACTTCAACGTTGTGAAAACCTATAGCCTCCATCATTACTTTTATTTTTTTTTCAGGCTCCTGTAAAGAAACTCAAGACTTATAAAAAAAAATTACTCCCTAAAGTAAAAAATACAAGTGATTCAAATCTTATGTTTAAATATGATTTTTAAGAAAAAATGTCAATTCAACGTAATTTGTTGTGACTTACTTGTGTGTCGTGGTAAGGAGATACGAAGCGGTCGACATCCTTCAACCAGGGTCTCCACCGGTTACTTCGAGCCAGGATACGATATACATCAAACACTGGCATATGTCCAAGGAAGATCAGCAAGCAATCGCCACCTTTTATAAGCAGATCAAATATGTTTCTGAACGCGCACCTGAAAAGATTGATTCAAACGTTATACTTAGAATGTTCTTATTTACAAATTAACGTAACTTTGATTTAATTCGGATCATCTGTTGTTAAGTGATAGCCGCCATCCGATAATATTTGCAACACCCGAAGGGTTGCAAAAGTGTTGCCACCTTTTAATTCAAAGGGCCCCGGCAAGCTCATTTAAATGGGCAAGTTCGTCCGGGCAAGTACCGTGACCACACAGATGCCGGCGTAAAGGGAAGAGAAGTTATACTTCAGCGTTTCGTCTGGTGAGTGAGGTAGACGGGGCCCACTTTGTAAAAAGGTGACAAAGCATTTGCAGCTTTATTGTTGTTGCAAATGTCTATGGGCGTCGGTTATCACTCAAGATCAGGTGAAACGCCAGCACGCATGCCGGCCACTTACATGAAAAATGTACGATTTTGAATGTATGTTGTATGTGTCGATGAAAATAGAATACACCTACGAAAAATTTCAGCTATTATTTTAAATATTTAGTTAACGATATTGTGTAATTTGCGTTTGTAAAGATATAAACATATATAAAAACAAATTTAATTTTTTTTCAAAAACCATCCCATTTGATATTTAAGCGATTGGTAAATGCTTTGGATTATTATTGTCTTTTGTGGGTTTTCAGTAATTGGTTTTTGTATGCACAAAAGAAGACAGCTTGGAGTCGGGTTAAGAATATAAGACTTACTAATCATTTACTTTTACCGCTAAGCACATCTATACATATTCATAATCAATGTGTTTTAATGCACAATGAACATCATTCAGTAGAAAATATTACAAAATAACTGCATGAATATATTCCATGAAACGACGCGGGATGCGTATGTAGTTCTAGAATAACAATCAAGTAATTATAATATACAATTTTTTACCCGCTTCAACGCAGAATTTTATGAGAAGGAACAAGTAAGGTTTGAAATAGGTACTTTAAAAACTTTCATTTAAGTGAATAGATTCGCAGGAGATTTCATAATTAGGGTTAAGTGATTAGCGTTAAGAGGTGTTTGTGTGGAAATACTTATACGCCTTGGTTTTTATGTTTCGGTTAAGTCTACAATGTTATCATTATTATATTAAATAATAACAACTGAATAAATGTGATGATTACAAGCATGCTACGTGTTATAATTTAATTAAACTTTACTCACTCCTGCCGCTTAATCCAGTGTAAGGTGTAGAATGAAAACGCGTGGTCAAAACTGTTCCGCAACTCCCTCGGCAGAGCGCCTTCTATGTCCATTACCCTGAAGCAGATCTGGTTATTCGCGTAGTGTTTGTTCGCGTGCTGTACCATCTTCTTGCTGATGTCGCATCCCATGAGCCTGCTGCAGCTATTCGGTATGTATCTCCTCAGTATACTGGCAGTCACGCTGCCGTCTCCGCACCCAATGTCTATCACCCGGTCGCTGAGGCGTCTCCATCTGATCTTCCTCGCGTACTCCTCGAGGCACTCCAGGGCGTCTCTCTTCTGCAAGGTGTTGCTTTTCTGATAAAGCTCGGCGTCGTCGTTCATCGCGCTCTCGGTGTCCGGAGCTTTTGACGCTTTGATAAGTTCTCTGGATATTTATTATTATTATTTTTTTTAATTTGGTGCGTTTAGGGCGCGCGTCCACTGGGTCGCCGTGTTCGACGCGGTTTCGGCGGGCAGTCGCGACAGAAGCGATGCTCGTATGTATTTATATGAGCCGCCGACGCATAGCAGCGTCGGCTTTTGCGCCGTGCTACGGTCGAAATCAGGATAAGCGTGTAGGGTGTTCCCGATTCACCTGTAAATTAAGGAATGATACGTGTGTTGTATTCAGTTGTTTCATAATGCTGTTAATCCGCATGCTGTAATCGTTTAAGATTTTTTCTACTTTAAATAACTCCAGACAAACTCGCCTATTAATTATTGTAAAATGTATGTATGTACTCGTATGTATCGTTCTTGTAACTCATGGAGTTACGAACAGCTAACATTAATAACTATTGAACAACGGCATTTTTTATGAATTAACTGATAACTGATAATTTCTTGTAGTTATGCGACAAAATTATTAAATTAAACTATTTTAACGGATTTATCGCCTTTATTTTTAATTGTTAAGTAATATACGCTTCAACTTTATCACCTTAATAATAAATTTAACTAATTAATACGAAAAATAAGGTTCTTCCTTATAACGAGATGAGAAGTTTGTACATGACAAAAGGATAATCGTTGTATGGAAGCTTATGAACCGCGAAGTTACATGTAGTAACCGCGTGGCGATCTTTTCGATTTCAACTGCAAAAAATTTATACGACGATCTCAAAGAAGGTCCCTCCATTTCAGAGAGCGTTGATAGAAGTTATTGGTCATCGCGACTTTTATACACTTACAATATGGATACTCCAAAATATAAAATTGAAGAATTTCTCATCCTAGATTTCATCCTATACATGTTTTGGATTGAAAAAAGATATGTACAAATTATTGCGCGTAAGCCAACTTGGCTAACATGTGGGCTCAGATTCAAAGTCGGCGAAATGAAACACCTGCTAAATACGAATGCAGTTATATAGACATATAAATTTCTTAACGCGCAGGTCCTCTCGTAGCTATATTTAATTTGATTATATACATGTCTAAGATAACTAGGCTTGTTATTCGTTCATGTTGGCAGTAGGAATTGAAATTTGAGAAATATATGATTAACTTTTACAACTTAAACATTTGTTATATGTTTATATATAACAGGACGTCAAAAACCTCAGTATCTCCTGCGACCGAGTATGCAATTTTTTTTATTTTTTTTTAGAACACATTTTTAAGCAACGCTTGTATTATGGGTACTAGATAACTGATAAACATACTTAAACATACTTTTCTTTTGTAAATAAATACATATTATACATATATAAACACCAAACAATTCTAAACTACGGAAGTAAAAATCTAAATTAAACGCGATCAAATTCGTCCACTATTTGCATTAACATAAACAATTGCTATTGTATGTGTGAATAAGATTTTGAATACCTTAATTTAATCTTCTACATTGACTCATCACGATATCTCCGGAACCATAAGGCATAGAGACTTGAAATTTGCTAGGAATATTCCTTTCGCCAAGTAGAGGTTTTTTCGAATTTTAGCAAATTTTACGGATTTTACGAAATTCCACAAAAGAACGTTTGCCGGATCAGCTAATCCGTTCATAAATCTTTTCGCTTACATCTGACATAACAGTTTAGATCTCTACTAATGGAGAATCCACTCCAAGAACTCTGTTAGTGCTTAGCTAATATAAAATTAATTTATGTATCGTGTGGAGTCTTCAATAAATCGTAATGAAAATTCATTTGAAATTCACCAATTAGCGAATTTAACACTAATTAATTGCTAATTTACATAAAATATTTGAGTGTGGACGTACATATGTCTCGTAGAAAATTTTACCTTACTAAGCATACGTAATGAAGTAATGCATACGAATGAATAATGAATGTACACATTTAAGTTATCTTACGGATTAACAAGTATTTTTACTTATTCCAAATAAGTAAAAGAAGAATGAATAATTCTTAATACGCAATTTACGAAATAATTTTTCTTAGGCGCTGCGACGGCTGTTGTTTACAGAAATAACTATGTCGCCATTCATGCCCCATGTATGAATGAAAAGCCATCGTTTATCAGATCTAAGCAGCATTTTCTTTTACGTATTTCGTAACTACAATGTAACTAAATGGCTCCATGTACATGTATCCGAAAATAGACCCAATTATCTGTCTTGGATCGCCGGCTCGCTTCTCTGCTTTAATATTCTATTGTGATGTGTAATATCAATCTGCGGCCTTCATCTCCTCTATTTTTATTCGGTACCATTATCTAAGTTTCAGCCATCGGTTTGCTGGTGGCTGTGTTTGTCGTTCGTCCATCTTAAAAATTATATTGCAAATTGAGCGCGCTTTGGTTAAGACGCAAAATTTATTTTGACTAGAATTTTTTTTCAAATCAAAAATTTTTTCGAACATTAATTTTATCTATTTATAGTCGTTTTAATTTACCGGAACAGAAGAGAAAGTCCGTAGGTATCTTCATTTTTTAATTTTTTTCCTTGAAACATGATTAAACACATTACGTATATTTTTTTTATAAATAGCTTGGGAGTGATCAACACATTGCCAAGGGTTATTATCATTGATCTATTCATTTATATTATAATAACCCTTTTTATAAAGTTGTTATTTAATAAATTTATTAAATCTGTTAATAGGCTGATAACAATAATTTCCTTTAATGTTTTACAAATGATCAAGCGACCGCCACAGCTTCATTTGTTTTCTATAGGGGTTTATATTCGATCTGATGCGATATTAATCTGCGAATGTAGAACCTATAACATTCATGGGTTTTTGAGAATTTGCTTTCTGTCACAAACGTCATTGGACCAAATTTTAAATTGACAAGGCCACGGAAGTGACGTTCGTATGCAAATATACACACATGTTGCCGAATATTTCCTTTAAATTCATCTCATTTATTTAGACACTAATGGAAGTTAAAATGAGTTATATTCTAAGCTTACAATTTTTTTTAAAGGGCACCTCTACACAGTGAAGTTAGAAATCACGGCGCATAGGTGCCACATAGAGATTGACTTACATTATTTTTGATATTGTGCATCTTATTTTTGTATTAACAGACACTTTGTGTTAGCATTGAAAATTTGTCTTTTTTTATTTGTATTCATTCTTCTATTATTATCTTTAATTGCTGCGGGTATTTTTCCTGATGTATCGAAGTATCGGGATGATTCATCAAATGAAATGTCAATCAATAGCATCAAACTTTAAGTGTGGCACTTCCTTTGGGCACTGGCCTTGCCGAATTTATTATTGCCGTCATGTAGCACGAGTTATAAGCACATTTATGATTTCTGTCGGGACACAACATTGATGTCGTTGTGCAAAATGAGTCGGTACTTCACAGTACTCGAACGCAAACGGGTTTAGCTAACAAGTTAAGATGAAATTCTGGAGCACTCGTTTTCCGCGTGAGCTATTTTATTCCACCGTAAAATGACGAATTTTCCCCCCTATTTTTAATGAAAGTATGTGATGCGTTTATAACTTGTGTTGTTAATACATAAGGAAGGCACAACAGTTTACTGCCATATCTGTAGAAGTGACGTTAATTTCTCAGTAACATATTTTAAAACGCCATAATGGAAAGTACTCAAGAATTCTTATGTTTCCCATGTTTTTAATAAAGCATATAAACTTTACTAGAATTGGTAAAAAGTTTTTAAGCAGGCAGTTCGACGTTATATTATAAAATAATGTCAGAACGAAAATTGAAAATGATAAGAGGTTAAGAGGAAAATAATTTTCAAGTAAAATGACCCAATATGGAATGGACATGGCTTTGCTATGTTTTTCGCGAACTTCCTTATTAGGTACTTTAAAATAACATTAAGTGGGACATATGCATGGCCCGCTTTTTGATATTTTCTTCATCAATTCGGGCCAGTTTTTTCCTACAATTCGGAAACAGAAAAGCGGTTTCCGGCCACGCTACCCTGTAATTACATCAGCGAAGTCGATTATAAGTTGCCCTTTTTTTCTTTGGGAAGGTAAATAATTCGGTTTCGCTCCAATAAAACGGTTTGAATTGCCAATGAGCGGACTCATTTCGGATTCTGAGCGTGGCCGTTTAAGATTCAAATTCGTTTAGTTGGTGTCGAATGGAATTGTCATGCCGCGCACAAGTTTGGGCAGGATTCGAGCGCTGACGATCTCCTTTGACCGAGCGACGAATAAGTGCATTGCCCCGCGGCTGCGCCTGCGCCGCTGTCTACCTTTTTATTATCTTTATTTGCGTCGCGGTATCTACTCAGCTGGGTTAGGACTTGACCTAGCCTAATGTGATTTGTATTGACGACGTAATGGTCATACGGTGGCGTTATTTATTTCGTTTCGCGTTTTACTATGGCAACCATGACGTCATATTGCTTATGCCCATTGCATTAGAAGTAAACTAATTACGCTACATCAAAGGGAATAATAGCGTTGAATTGACACAGTAACATCATTTTAACGCAACCGTACTTTATGGAGTACATTTATAATGCATTTATCTAAATTACGACGCTAAAGAGTGTCAAATTGTGTAACGTGCTATTACCTGGTAAGATCTAGCGAAAAACTGCAATATATTATAATATTGCAGTTTCTCGATGTATAATTAAAAACTATCAACGCATTATGCGTTCCCGACGCCCGTACAGCGTCAGACAAATGACCGCATCCGAAATTAAAGTTATATAAATGCGGGTGCAAACCGAGGCGTTCTCGTAAAGTGCAACGTGCATAATCTAAACTTGAAATTCAAGGACAGAGTTAAAAAAACCGGCGGAAAAAATTCAAGCCGGTGCATCCATACGCTATAATGCAAGTGCGCTGTGCATTGAAGGCAGCGCTACACTTTTTTGATACTTGCTATAGGTAAACATTTATTAATTTTTATTTATATTCTATGGTTATTGA